ACACAACTTGGAGGAAATCAGCTAATAATACCTCCATTTCTCATCTGGTCAGCCAAGAGGCCTCGCTAACCACCACGCTTCCCCTACCATTGGACCTTTTTACCCCTCCCAGTGAGGGCTTATCTCTTAATCTCTTAGTGCTTGCAATGGGGTCCTTAAATTGGTCTTCTAGCTTCAGTATATGGCTTGACAGTCCTTAATATGCATGCCATCCAGTAGGTTATTTATTCCTGGGTTTACTGTGAAACTGCCTGGCTGGAATCTGTGTTTTCTTTTCTTTTTTTTTTTTTTTTTTTGCGGTACGCGGGCCTCTCACTGTTGTGGCCTCTCCCGTTGCGGAGCACAGGCTCCGGATGCGCAGGCTCAGCATCCATGGCTCACGGGCCCAGCCGCTCTGCGGCATGTGGGATCCTCCCAGACCAGGGCATGAACCCATGTCCCCTGCATCAGCAGGCGGACTCTCAACCACTGCGCCACCAGGGAAGCCCTGTGTTTTCTTTTAAAACCAACTTCCAGCAGTTTTATATTCACTTTGTTTTTAACTGAGGACTGGGACGTGGTTCTAGAAGTCAATGGCAGCTACAGTATCATTTCAGAGAAAAACCTCCCTAGCTTCCTCACACTGAGCCCATCTTCCTCCATATTCTCCCCATCACATGGAAAAAGCTTTCCAAATTTCTCTTTGGTCTGCAAAACGCTTTTCCAAGTAAGTGGGCAGTCTATAACATTGGAAAATATTGGACCTGCAAGGCTTGTGAGAGACAGAAAATCAAAGAGAGCTGAGGTAGGGGCAACATGCAACATCAGGAAAAGAGAAATGAGCAGATCAGGCAAGACCTTGGTGAGGCACCACCCCCAGCCCGAACTTCTCCACTGCATTTAGAAGAGACTCAAAATCTTTTCAGTCTTTTGAAAGTTTACACTCTCTTTGGTATAAACTTTCAAAAGACTTAAAGTCAAAGCTACTATGAGGTTCCAGACATGTTGGCTCCCTTGGGAGACCCTCCATCCTCCCTAACCTGTCACCAATTATTTCTATACAGAGAAGAACCTCTCTGCTGGTCCCTGCCCGATTCTGAGCCCCAGTCTCCAACAATGAACTCAGAATTCACACGCACTTAGAAGACTGGCCTTAAATCCACTTCTCCTACATATCTGCTTATGGACGTAAATAAAAGTTAACACTGACTCTGGGTTTTCTGTATTTTTGTGTACTAGATCGTGAGTTCTTTGAAGTAAGTACAACTTCTTTGTCTTTTCCCTATTCCTACCTCATGGTACCTAGGATTCTTTAGCCACTTAAAGAATATCTGTTGACTTGAACTGGCTTCTACAGAAACGCAGGTACATTCTAGGCAAAGAACAACTGAAAAAGAGGACAAAAGAAAGTGAGAGAAACAAGATTAATGATCTAATGATCTCTAATAGATGGAAGTGGTTTTGGCTACCGGGGCTAGGGCAATGCATGGCCAGGGGTGTTGGAACCATACTAAAGAATATAAATTCCAAAAGAAAACTTACTCATTCTCCAAATTCACTGGCCCTAGTAAAACAGGTTTCAAGGTTCAATTATTAGTTTTATCTTGCAAGTGTAAAAATAGAAACAATAATGGCTCCCCAAAGATATCCATGTCTTACTCTCCAGAACTTGTGAATATGTCACCTTTGCAGACATGGACTTTGAATGAATACCTTTGAATTATCCAGGTAGACCCCACATCAGTCCTTAAAAGCAACGGTCAGGGGCTGCCCTGGTGGCGCAGTGGTTTAGAGTCCGCCTGCCAATGCAGGGGACATGGGTTCGTGCCCTGGTCTGGGAAGATCCCACATGCCGCGGAGCGGCTGGGCCCGTGAGCCATGGCCGCTGAGCCTGCACATCCAGAGCCTGTGCTCCACAATGGGAGAGGCCACAATAGTGAGAGGCCCGTGTACCGCAAAAAAAAAAAAAGCAAAAAAAAAAAGCAATGGTCAGTGAGAGAGTGAGACAGATGTGACAATAGTAGGAAGGTCAGAGAGATGCAGCATTACTGTTCTGAAGATGGAGGAAGGGGGCCACAAGCCAAGGAATGCAGGCAGCCCTTAGCAGCTGGAAAAAGCAAGGAAATAGATTCTCCCCCAGAGCTTCCAGAGAGGAACACAGTCCTGCTGACACCTTAATCTTAGCCCAGTGAGAAGTGTGTCAGACTTGTAACTTTATGAAACTGTAAGATAACAGATTTATATTGTTTTAAGTCAGGAGTAATTTGTTCATTGTAATGATAGAAAATGAACACAAAAGGCAATCCTTGGCTTCAGCATTGCCCTCTAAACTGGTGAACTGGCATTCCCTGTGTAGCCCCCAAACCAGAAAGATTTCTTATTCTAAATGAATAAGAAATGAATAAGAAATGAATTCTCTACTATTCCTTTCCTCCTTCACTTGGCTGGCTTTTTCTCATCTTTCAAGACTCAGCACAAAGTTCCTCTCCTCTGACAAATCTTAGTTTTATCTATATAGACTATGAATTTCTGAAAAGTGAGGACCCTGTCATATTCTTTGTAAATGTTAGTTTGAATGATGCAATTAATCAATCATCATTTAATGAAAGGGACAATAAAACTGCTTTCTTTCTAAGAAAGAAATTAGATCACTCACTAGGATCTACCTACATTCACATCCATGAAGTTCTACCTCATTCCTTCTCCTCTCTTTGGACACATGGGCATGCGCGCACACACACACACACACACACACACACAGCCTGGCAGGGTTGAATCCCAGTTTGTAGCTGTTCAGAATAAGACTAGTAAGCAAAACATTCATCTCTGATCAAGAGTATAAACTGTAGGGATCAAAGGCTGAAACCAGAACATTTCAAGAGAAATTTGAAAGGCACAGAAAAGTTCCAAAATGTGGAGTCTAAAGCCGGAGCTTAGGTTTGAGAATTAAATAACAGGACTTATGTTGTGGTGGTTTTAAAATACATCTACAAATATTTTGATGCTCCTTTCTCCAAACAGTGGAGACGAATTCTCCTCCCCTAGAGTATGGGCTGAAGTGAATCCCTTCTAATGAATAAAATGTGGCTGATGTGATCAGCATATGATCAAGCCACAAAAGGCATTACAACTTCCTCCCTCAGTAACAATCTCTGTCTGCCTGTCTCTTCCCTTCTCTTTCTTTCTCTCTGTCTCTGTCTCTCTCTCTCTCTCTTCTGAAGGAAGCCTGTTGCCAACAGCCACATGACTGAGCCATCTTGGGAGAACTTTCCCAAACCTGAAGACATCTATGGGCCCAGCCCACATCTTAACACCAACCACAGGAAAGTCCCTAAGCCAAAACCACTCAGCTAAGCTACTCCCAAATCTCCGAACACAGAAACTATGAGATAATAAATGTTTATTCTTTTAAGCCACTAAATTTTGGAATTACTTGTTACGCAGTAATAGCCAATATAGGTGAGATACAATCCCTGGAGTACAGGTTACAGATTGGAAGCCTAGCTCCTAATTCAGTCTACAAATATATTTTCCTCAGCTTGTAGTGATAGATTTCTTTTTAAGAGCCAACATTTTTTTTTTCCTTGCAGTATGTGGGCCTCTCACCGCTGCAGCCTCTCCCGCTGCGGAGCACAGGCTCCGGACACGCAGGCTCAGCGGCCATGGCTCACGGGCCTAGTTGTTCCGCGGCATGTGGGATCCTCCCGGACCGGGGCACCAACCCGTGTCCCCTGCATCGGCAGGTGGACCCTCAACCACTGCGCCACCGGGGAAGCCCAAGAGCCAACATTTTTAAATCATTAAATTTCGCTTAGAAATCTAGATTTCCAGCCTCTCTCAAAATTTTGGAGGTCCAGCCACACAAAGGCCCACATTCCCATCTGGCAGCCTCGTGCTGTAGAAGAGGCATGCTCTCCTGAGTCCACTGCAGTCCCCATTCAACCCTGCTCATCCCCACACTGACGCCAACAGCATGGCTTTTGCACTGCTATTTCTCTTTTAGTAGAAAAATATTTCTCAGTTCCTGTATCTCTATCAAAATTAGGAAACCAAAGGTATACTGAAAGGGCTTTGCATCTTAAGAAATCTAGGAGAACACTTGTTTCTTGGTGGGAGTGAAGAATATTCCTACATGCCTAATACGCCATCAATGTGTGTCTGTGTCAAATACATACAATTTAGGATCCTATATTTTCTTCCTCCAGTACCTTTGCTCATTGAGGCTAACAGACTGGACCCTGTAGCTAAGTGAGCTTGCTAAACCTGCTCTTTCTTACTCGGGGCTCCTTGAAATGGGGCTAGGATGTGGCATATGAGCTTGCTAGAGCTGGCTCTTCAGCAGCTTAAAGGTAGCCGCCAACATGACACCTTTCCTCTCATACTGATTGTTTTGAGAAGAACCTTGCTGAGACCACAGTATCTATTAACTCTTCTTCTGGTTTTGCACTTATAATAATTGTTTAGCATGAGCTGCTTATTGCTGGCTCAAATTGTGTCTGACCAAACCCATACTGACTAATCAGAAATAATCCTGAGTACAACCTCTACTTTACCATAAATGCATAATTTTCATTATTACAAATGTTTCTAGGAAATAAACATTGAACTAGAACAAGAGTTGGCAAATTGCAGCACACAGGCCAAATCTGGCCCACTGCCAGCTTTTATAAATAAAGTTTTATCAGAACACAGCCACACTTATTCATTTATGTACTGTCTGTGGCTGCTTTTACACCACACTGGCTGAGCTAAGTAGTTATGACAGAGACCTCATGACCTGCAAGCCTCAAATATTTACAATCCAGCCAATCCCTGAATGAGAAGGATAAAATACAAAGATTTTGACAGTTAATAGGCCAAGAACACATTGCGCTTCAAAGGAACACACGTGGGGAAAAGTAAAGACGCCATGCCCTCTCCAGAGTGTTTGCCTTATCACTCATAGTCAGTAACTCTAAAACTTTCTTTACCTTACGAATGGACATAAACAGAATGGGTTTTTAGGTTGAAAATGAACTCACTGTGGCTAGTTTCTGAACGTCTTCATCTGATGCTCCCAGAGATGCCAGGCCTATTTCTTGTGAAAACTGAGCAAACTTAGGATCCGCAAGTAGAGGAACATGTCCCAGGAGTTCGTGACATGTGTCTCTGAAAAGAAAAACATCACAGAGAAATGTTAGACAAGTTAAGCTATCACTGGCAGAACAAGACCTAAAATTCTAATTATAACCTTGCTACTGTAATTAATGTTACCAAATTTCACCAATCCTAAGATTTTTTATCAACTCTGAAATCCAGATACATCTTACAACCATGGCATCTTAAATTATGTGATATATAATATGTTAACAAAATAATAGTGACTACTATTTTCAAGAGCGTATCATATGCCAAACATGTGTTAAGTGTTTTATTACATGCACTGTCTCTTTGAATACTCAAGAGAAACTTGAATTAAAGTAACTTATTGGTGCAATATTCTATAGACCAGGGGTGTGCAAACTACAGCTGCAGGTCAAATCTGGCCTACTGCCTGTTTCTGTAAATAAAGTTTTATTGGAACACAGCCATGTCCGTTCATTAATGTATTGTCTATGGCTCCTTTTGCCTAAAACGGCAGAGTTGAGTAGTTGTGACTGAGACCATATGGCCCACAAAGCCTAAAACATTTACTAGCTGGACCTTTACTGAAAAAGTTTGCCAATTCTTGCTACAGATAATGATAAAGGCAAAACTTGAATCCAGCTTATCATGATTTCTAAACTCTTGTTCTCAACCCTTAAGTTACACTGCATCCCACGTTACACTTTGCAGGGCACTGGGAAACAGCAGAAGATCCTATTGTCATCAACAGATGTCTTTTCCCGTGGACCATTTATCTGTCTATAACACAAGCAACTCTTTTGAGCCTTCCCACTGGAAGACCCTCCCAGTCCCCTTCTTTGACTAGCCTGAACTAGGTAATAATAGAAGTTTACATCCTCTCTCATTTGCCTGTGCTTTCACTTGGAGCCAGAGACCAGGCAAAGGCAGGTATGTGTCACCATGAAGCAAGGCGGATGCCTTCCTGAGTCATTGCCATGAATCACAAACCGTTTCCTGATACCAAGCTATCCTGGAATATATGACTGGAAATGAATCAAAAGGCAACAATATTTTATTTTCTTGACAAAAACTAATGAGCCAGGTAGTAACTGAAAGATGCTTCCTAATTTCACCTGAGTTCCTTGTAAGTGTATCACTTCAAATAGATGCTATAACATAAATGCCAGGTACTACCACCAATATCACAAGTATAAAGTAAGTTGGATGGTCATGAGGCTGAAGCAAGGGAATGGTGGTCAAGGGCAGACGATGGGTGCCAACATAAGACATATGGCATTACTTGGTCAAAAAGTTCTGTTCCCACAGCTCAAACCACATGCCCAACCCTGGCCAGCCACTTCCCAGACACATCAGGTTGAAAAAGCAGCCAAATGAATACGTGGACATGATACTGAAAGAAACTCCAAATTCATTCTCTATCAACTGTGTGCCAACAGCCTCCTTTTTGTACAGAAATTGAATTTGTGGAAAAGCATATGTGGTGGTTACTCTCCAGTCACACTCCTTAAGGTGGTGAATCAGACTCATTGGATTTTAGGGCATAAGGAGAATTTAAATGTTATCAGAGCCCTTCATTTTACCTATGATTAAAGACGGAAGGAGGAAAAAAAGAAAGTTAACATAGTGCCTTCCCTGGTGGCGCAGTGGTTAAGAATCCGCCTGCCAATGCAGGGGACATGGGTTCAAGCCCTGCTCCAAGAAGATCCCATGTGCCACGGAGCAACTAAGCCTGTGCGCCACAACTACTGAGCCTGCGCTCTAGAGCCTTCGAGCCACAGCCACTGAAGCCTGCGTGCATGGAGACCGTGCTCCGCAACAAGAGAAGCCACCGCTCGCTGCAACTAGAGAAAACCCGTGCACAGCAACGAAGACCCAACGCAGCCAAAAATAAATAAATTTATTAAAAAAGAAAGCTAACATATACTGAGCTCCTATTATGTGCTGGGTACTGGGCTAAATGTTTTCATATCCCATTAGTAATTTCATCTTCACTTACAAAGAAGTCTTATTACTCCCATTTGACAAACGGGGAAACTAACATTCAGTAAATTTAAGCATTTTTTTCCCAAGGACACACTGTTAATAAGAGACAGAGACAAGATTTGAAATCAAATTCCTCTGACTCAAAGCTGTGCTCCTTCTGTTCTATTAACTTACAAGGTTGAGTAAACGAGAAGGGCTGGGCGGGGCACAGCTTCAGTTGTGGAGAACGTTTAACCAAGCTGGTTAGCACAGGTAAAAATGTAGCCAGTGTGTCCTAAGTCTCTTTTCCTGCCACTCAGTCTTCAACCCTCCAGATTACCCGAGGAGCCATTTTAAAAATACCAATGGGGCTTCCCTGGGCGCAGTGGTTGGGGGTCCGCCTGCCAATGCGGGGATGTGGGTTCATGCCCCGGTCCGGGGGGATCCCGTGTGCCGCGGAGCGGCTGGGCCCGTGAGCCACGGCCGCTGAGCCTGCAAGTCCGGAGCCTGTGCTCTGCAACAGGAGAGGCCACAACAGTGAGAGGCCCGCGTACCGCAAAAAACAAAAAAAAAAACAAAAAAACAATGACTGGGCGCTACATAAGATCAATGCAGTCAGACTCTCTGGGACAGGCCTGAGCAGGTATAAGACACAGGCAGGGTGGAGACCCTCTGTCGTAACAGACGATGCTCGGAACACCCTGAACAGGCTTCAAGCAACTAGTACTTAAAACTAAAGCTAAATGTGATTATGTAATTTTGAGCTGCCCAAATTTAATGCCACTAAAATTACATCATACAAACATACATACATACTGAGGAACAACGAAAGGTGGTAAGGAAAGCTCACTAGGTAGCAAGTTACTCCTCCACATGCACTTGACTCAGTTAGAGATCAGTTAAAGGTGTTTGATTCAGCATACTTCTATGCTGAGAGTGGACCCTGTAGACGCACTCCTGTGATCAGTTTTTTAAAGGTCATGCAGTCTGCACCAATGTTGGAATTGAGAGGCCCACCATGGATAAATCTGAGTACCCCCACTGTAGCTTATGATGTAAGTACTAAAACACTCCTACTGAACCAGGCAGAAAATATGACAACAATAATTTCAAAATTAGACCAGATGTCAAACTCCAGGGAAATACTAAAGATGGTGAGTATTAGCTCATGGTATGAATAAATAAATTAAACAGTAGCTAAAAGAACAACTATTGTGGCCAACAGGTATTGAATGCTTCCGATGGGCCAGGCACAGTGCTGGGTGCTTCCCAGTGTGAGAATGGGACAGGTCATGGTTACAGTGGTGGATTCTTGTTGCAAAACTGGGTTTACTCTTGAGCTTGTTAAATACTTGAAGAAGACAATCTTCTACCTGCCTAAGTACCAATGGAGTCCAAAGGCTTATAGGTAGAAGGGAAAGTGAAAAGTTGGCAGTTAAAAAAGGAAAGAAGAAGGAAAATACGAGAGATCCAAAGACTTGGAGTCAATTCTTTGTGGTAGAAAAGGAGCTATCACCTGAAATTTAAGTTAAGGTGTAATTATCAGAAACCTATAGCCCACAGCCAACTTAAGAACCTTTAATAGCATTACAAGGTAATCCAACCATACACAGAAGAGAAAGTATAAATTTGAAAGAAAAAAATCATACAACACAGCAGAATAAGTTATACTGTTTCATTAAGAATGAAAGCCTGAAGCAAGAATTCTAACAGAATTACTAATGGAATGCTCGGGATGCCTTTGCCCTGTTCTAAGTAGAAATGATTGCGCTACTTTGTACCTTCTTCTCCGCTCTGTCTCCACGTAGAGACCCTAAGAAGGAACTGCTGTTCAGATCTCTGAGCAAGTAGAGATGCAGTTCCTACAGGAACCCCACTTCTCACTGAATCAAGGCTCAAGCACCTATTTTTCAAGACCATAAATAACGTTATTATTGTTTATGACTTTGGTGGAACATTCTCAGAAATAAACACTGGGTTGTTCTCATCCCAGTGTCTTTGGCTAAGACACGTGGTATAGACAAAGGAAACTGAAGTCCCTGGAAACTCTTCAGACAACAAAGAAAGATGTTTAATGTTGCTAATTAAAGCAATTAATTAACTTTGAAAAGTTGACATTTTTTTTAGTTTCTTTGAGACCAAAGGACTTGGAAGCTGGGGTGACTAGCTTTCAGGGGCTGAAAGAGATTCCAGACTGTTGGGAATCTGCAGGAGAAGCCTGAGCCTCCTCTTCAAACTTTGTATCAATTAATTTCCGTGGGACTGAAGTCATGCTGTCTCACACCGCTTCACAAAGTGCAATAGCTATTATGTCCTGTCTGTAAAGTAGTTCACGATCCCTATGCTGGTGTTTCATCCACAGCTGGAACCCTGAATATCTAATTATGAACAGGTTTCCGATATGAGTCCACAACTACTGCCTTATCTCACCAGATCTCTCTTAAAAGATTCAATTATTTGGCTAGAATTGCACCTGTCAGCACACGCTGCCTCCAATCTCCATCCACAACAGCAAACTTTTCTCTTTTTAACTCACATCCCTTTGATGCATTTTCGCCTGAATAATGCTTCTCAGAGCCCTTTTCACAGAAGCACTGTTCACTGGAAATGTAGGACCTTTCAAAACTGTTAACACTGTAAAACATCATGTCTCCTTTTGAAAAAAAAAATAGAAAGAAAGAAAAAGAAAAGCTAGAGCTGATATCAGACACTAAACTTTTTGCTGCTCTAAATTGGAATCTTCTCTGATAAGCCCTGTTAAGAGGATTCTAAAGCTTACAAAGGGACCCAGGCAAAATGCCTCCAGGGAATTCTTAAATCATTCTAAGGAAGCTGCAATCACTTTGCTGCTGGGAAAAGAAGGGTCCTAGTTGTTAAGTTCAAATTCAAAATGGGTCTGGCATTCTTCTCCTCTTATCAGTTTTCAAAGCTGACTCATCCGCGTTGAACAACTTTTTATTTTTGCAGTAAATTAAAGCTTTTAAGAAGCAGTGAGTGGGCATGCAGTCTTTGCTTCCCATCCCAAATCAGCACATCTGTCTTTGAAACCCTATTGCTATAGGTTTTGTTTGTTCTAAATA